AAAGCGTTGTTATTACGTAATGCGACGGTGCCCACTGTCAACATTACATAGAGTTGCAAATCAAACAGTTGAGAAATATGTCAGATACACTAATAGATACGTTTTGTGTAAATATTTGTACGAAGCTTCCAAAAAAAAAACCTTTTTCGGTAACTCAAAGTATAATTTTACAGTATTCGATAATTACAGCGAAATTTGTACTGTGTTGTTAATTTTGATATTAGATGTCTAGACGACGTTCCTTTAATAGTGACATTTAATTATTATTTTATTTGTTTTTATGCTCTTGTAAGCAGACGAGCATATGGCCAACCTGACGGTGAATGGTTTCTGTCGCTAACTGACATGAACAATGCCAGGGGCCGGCCTGCCTATTGAGTATTCTTCACAAAGCTCGTTTGAAGAAATGATTGCTTAAATGATTGCTTAAATGGGTGGACAAGCTCACAGCCCACCTGGTGTTAAGTGGTTACTGGAGCCCATAGACATCCACAACGTAAATGCGCCACCCACCTTGAGATATAAGTTCTAAGGTCTCAGTATAGTTACAACGGCTGCCCCACCCTTCAAACCGAAACGCATTACTGCTTCACGGCAGAAATAGGCAGGGTGGTGGTACCTACCCGCGCGGACTCACAAGAGGTCCTACTACCAGTAATTACGCAAATTATAATTTTGCGGGTTTCATTTTTATTACACAATGTTATTCCTTCACCGTGGAAGTCAATCGTGAACATTTGTTGAGTACGTATTTCATTAGAAAAATTGGTACCCGCCTGAGATTCGAACATCGGTGCATCGCTCAGCATGAATGCACCGGACGTCTTATCCGTTAGGCCACGACGACTTCGATGTACATACGCTACAAAATATAATAGAAGGAAACAAACGACTTGATGAACTAAATGGAACCATGATGGTTCTTCCCTTTGAGCTGGTCTGTCTATGGTGATGATGACCACGTTACCTTATATATTTCTATCAGCGATTAACCTCTCTCAGTTTTCGTCTCCCCTTCTCAGTATATGGATAAAGTAACACAAAAAGCAGTGTTCGCGTTGTGTACAATCATGTGGGTGTGTGATCAATCACATGCTAATTTTGAGTATCGGCAGTATCGACTACTTTGTGAGCTTATGGTACTCTCAGCATTCGCCTCCAACACCAGATTTTATAATGGATTCACAAGGCCCTGTCGAATGGATGTTAAAAAATGCACGCTGATATTAGCGTTCGATATTTTCTGATCTCCCGACTACGTGCATAGCAATAATTTTTGAGTATCATCGTTTTTTTTTTTTTAATATCAAAACACCTATATTTATTGTTCAATGAACTTTTTTTAATTTTTTTTTATTGCTTAGATGGATGGAGGAGCTCACAGCCCACCTGGTGTTAATTGGTTACTGGAGCCCATAGCCATCTACAACGTAAATGCGTCACCCACCTTGAAATATAAGTTCTAAGATCTCAGCATAGTTACAACGGCTGCCCTACCCTTCAGACCGAAACGCACTACTGCTTCACGGCAGAAATAGGCAGAATGGTGGTACCTACCCGCGCGGACTCACAAGAGGTCCTACCACCATAAATTGGGACTTTATTAATCACGTTCTTGATTCCTGGCGATGATTAATATTATTCGTTTGGACTTACCAAGTATTCTAGCTTGGTATACAACTAATTGAATACATTTGTATAAATAACAACAATGAAAACAAATATAGTGATGAGCGGTATTAAAAATGAATACTATCGGATTAAAATCTTGAAACTTACATCTAAAATTAATTATCTGAATTCAGATTTTAATGCGTTTTGACAGTAAACGTTCTGTTTTAAAAACCAGTACACAATTTGTATTGTTATATATATTATAATTATATATTATTATATAATTCTACCACTTCGGCACTCGAATTTCCAATGCAAATATACTTAAGACCACTTCAATGCACCTCGCAATGAGCAATAAAATTTATTGTCGATTTTGTATAAAATAACGTGATCGTCGAATAGCAATTGTGCGGGAACAAACTGTTTACATATTGTCATACCGACCGCGGTCAACAAGCAACGCCTTTAATGTCCATTGTAGTACATATTTCATTGGCAATAAATCTTTGTGTAATATAATTTGCTAAGTTAGCTTAGGCTATGAGAAAATGATTATTCCATTTGACTCGTTATAGAATAGGGCAGTTCTTTTTTTTTATTGCCCTTGTAGGCAGACGAGCATACGGCCCGCCTGATGGTGAGTGGTTACCGTCGCCCATGGACTTCAGCAATGCCAGGGGCAGAGCCAAGCCGCTGCCTACCGCTTAATACTCTCCACAAGCCTCGTTTGAAGAAAGACATGTCATAGCGCTCGGGAAACACCGTGGAGGGAAGCTCATTCCATAGCCGGATGGTACGTGGCAAAAAAGACCTCTGGAAACGCACTGTGGATGACCGCAGTGGCTCCAGGTAGTATGGATGAACTCTACTCCGGTGGCGGGCGGTGCGATGGTAAAAACGAGATGCCGGTATCATCTCGAACAATTCCTCAGAGCACTCCCCTAAGTTCAGATTGTTAATAATAACGAACTTACGGATTGTTTGAAATTTTTAAGTTAACAGAGGACAACACAGCCCACCCAGTGTGAAGTGGTTACTGGAGCCCATAGAAATCTACAACGTAAATGCCGCTACCCACCTGACCTTACTGACTGAGACCTTATAACTTATCTCAAGGTGGGTGGTGGCATTTACATTGTAGATGTCTATGGGCTCCGGTAACCACTAAACACCAGGTGGACTGTGAGCTCGTCCACCCACCTAAACAATACAAATAATGTGTTTGTTACTACCATTTAAAAGTCCGATTGAAATTATACAACCCCTAGAAACATCAAAGTTCAACGTAGAAATCGTTCGTTCTCAAATGAAAGATACGCATTATTTCTATGACGCATTCTTCTTTAAAAAAGGTTTAGGTCAGCGGCTCGGCTATTAGGCATTGGCATTGGCTACATGAAAATCTGTGACTACTCACTATCAGGAGAACCGTATCTCGCCTGCCTTCAAAAATTATTTGAAGCCCAACCAAGCCTTGAGATCCATACTCATACTATGACCATATAGCATTAAATACTTAAATTTCTCCGAGTCCAAATACAGCATGAACTGGCCATTTTTCCTTGGACAGATATTGTACCTTGTAAGAGCAGAGAATATGCTCTCCGACGAGGCTGCATTGTTTGTTGCTTATGTGCACAATGTGTGAATACGTACTTCAGGTTTTCCTAACAATAACTAGAGACTAATGTTGCCGTTAGGAAATTCCATTAAATATAAATAAAGAGTGAGCTACGCTAAAAACGTAAACATGTTGGTTGTTTTTGTCTGACACTTCTGCTTTTAATAACAACTCATAATTGTTTTTGGAGATTTTTCCGTGGGAAATAATTTTAAAGATAGACATCAACGAATTTAATTGAAAGGATTTTAAAGATTTTTTCACCATCGTTTGTTTCTCACGGCTATTAAAGTTTTTGGTCGTTAATTTGTTTATTTGTAAGAAATGACCGTAAAGGCGCTCGACACCCTTTTCTCTACCTTCAAAATTAGACTTTAAAACTGTTCTATGTTTATATCGCCGCGACAAGAGCTAGACATCGACAATAATACAACATGTTCTTCTTCTCAATCGTGTCACTCTTGACAGAGTGGTCGTCATCGTCATGTAGTGTTGAAAGGGGCAGACTTGATGCGTCTCACGATGTCGCTCCATCTCTCCCTGCTCGAGGCCATGTCATCACAATACAATTTAAGACGTTCACCAAGCATCTTTTGGTGTAGTCGGTAAGCGGTGTACTCTTATAGATACCGTATGCTGTACTTACTTAGCCCTTATCTTTCTATTTTCACACGTCATTTCGGATCCTCCCGATCCACTAACGGTGCTTTTAGGTACCTCAAGCACCGGTCATCGTTCTCGTCGAACCCGTCGCTTGCGACGAAGGGCTCGACGACTAAATTAACCCTCAGACACAGCCCACTGAGTTTCTCGCCGAATCTTCTCAGTGGGTTGCGTTTCCGATCCGGTGGTAGATTCTGCGAAGCACGACTCTTGCTAGGGTTCGTGCTAGCAACGTCGTCAGGTTTGAGCCCCGTGAGCTCACCTACTAGTTAAGGTTACGCTGAAATAGCTTCTCAAGGCTATCTATCAGCTTAGGTAGGAAAAACAAAAAAAATAAGAAGATCTGTATATTACCAACCTTAAAGTCGTCATCAAAATCGAAGTTTTCTTCGTTAATGATGGTGGCGCCTCTAGCAGATTAAACTGTTAGATTCGAGACTAGACTTTCCAATCATGATACTATTATTAGAACAACTTAAGGAGTAGAAACTACTATGCAAATGCTAAGGAAAAAAAAAACTATTTTCAAACATTTTCTTTTTACAGATGAGACTAAAACTCGTCATAGTGTACGAAAGAAAAATAATCTATTGAAAAACAGAGGAGAAACTTGTACTTAATTTTTATTTCTTTTCACATTTTTATAGAATACATAATATGCACATAGGTATAGATTTGCATCAAATATGTAGATATTCGATGTTCGTATCTATTAGTCGGTAGAGCCCACGTGTAATACCACCCTTTATTTTTCCCGAGAAGCAGCGTTTATGCTTAAAGAATGGGACCACCGTTGTATAGTACAATTTGAGAGTTTGACCTTATACATGTCCCGAGGTGGTATTGACTATGCAAAGACCCGGTGACCGCTTTTAACATCAGGGCTCGCATTATTCTTACTTTATTCTTAACATATATTTTTATTTCCTGCGGCCTTAGGGAGCCGTTGAAACAATTAAAACTAATTTTACGGCTTAATCTCGCACTTATGACTTGCGACGTTACAAATACTTTACAGTTTTCGTGGTCGCGGACGGTCAGACATATAATAACGAACACAATATTTTTATCATTGAATTAATTAAAAATTTCTTTCCAGATACTCAATAGCAGGGAAATGCTTACCCCACCTACCGCAGTGGGCCATAGACAACTTTGGCATAGATCCAGATTCACCGCCCAAAATTCCGGAAGCGCCAAGTAGTTTTGCAGAAAGTCGCCTGCCGGAAAACGTTAAGGATGAATTGGAGATGATCGCCGCAGTAAGCGTGGACGGCATGGATAGACTGATCAGAGCACACGGGCAGACCTTAAAGGACATAGCGAACGTCAGAAATAACAGCTTTCGGAGAATACCTGACGCTGTCATATGGCCAGATTGTCATGAGCAGGTCAGTAAATCGCGCCAAACTATTAAGCGGCTTCCTTTGTTCAGCTGCCAAACTGTTAAATAACTAGATCTTTACTCTTTTAAGCCAGTCGTCGATTGTAAGTTGTAGGTTAGTTGACTGACCCGCCGGTACGCCGAGCAAAAAGTGCGACTCTGTTAAGGCTTTTTTTCTTTTTTCGTTTCATGTATATTGAATTATTAAGTTTTATTTAGTGATTGAAATCCTTACACAAAAATAGTGATTGGATGAACTTTTTTTTTTTCATGGACACGAGATATGGTCCTCTGTTATATTAATTGGTTATTGAATGTACATGACGTATCTCTTGCATTATTCATGTCCATGTGACACGGTAACCGCTTACCTTAGGTGCCGTAAACACCCAAAAAAAGGTTTGTTCTTAAATTATCTCTTGCTCTTTTTGTTGCCCTTATCTCTCACATTACATGGGGTTGACGCAGCATGTCCTCTTATCATGCTGCGTAGGGATTTGATATGACTTACAACCATCCACCTGTCTGACGTCATTCGAGTCCCTTATTCGTCTTTTACGGCACCGGCAGCAAGATATGGGTCGGTCTAATTCTAAACATAAGGTTTTCAAATAATTATAGCCGGATTATAATTATTTGACAATCAATAACTCATCGGTTCTGTGTGACCGCGAATAGGGCTACGCTATATATTCCCGTGGGTGGTCATTAAAGACGCTAAAGGATTAACTGGAGAATGGGTAGCAGCAGAATATTATACTAGCGTAATCCAATGAAATTGGAAGCCTACGATGGGCACGACATGTAGTTCGAATGGAGGAGACCAGATTGCCAAGACAACTACTATATGGCAAAACAGAGGGGCGCAGAAGTCGTGGCATAGCCAAACACCGATGGTTAGATGGCGTAGAGCAGGACCTCAAAGTTCGGTGTCAAGAAATCGAAGGAGAAAGCCATGAACGGAGCAATCTGGAGAGACATACTGGACCAGGCTAAGGCCCATTCTGGGTTGTAAGGCCTAAGATGATTAACTCCCAATAATTAAACGCCATTTACTTCTTGCCTAGTTATGCCACGAAGCAAGCGTACGTTTCGATTTGTATCACAATTTTATGTCTCCGAGTCTATGCCTATAGTTCAGCAGCCTTCGTGTGAACACTGTATGCCAGTTGAACTGTGAGCTCATACACTCATATATGCAACTAGCTGTACCCGTCCGCTTCGCTAGGCATTTAAAATTAACATTATTATTTCTCACCCCCGCACAGATTCTCATCATTAACGCCCCTGCAACTGATATAGGGAGTCCAACACTCATATAAATATACCCTATCCATTAAGTACATGTATTTTCTACATGGATACCAAGTTTCAAGTCAATCGGATGCATGGTTCAGTAGTTATAACGGAACATCCGTAAAAACCACTGTAGTTTTATATATTAGTATAGAAGTATAGATAACAAAAAAACAACGAAAAATTGCACATTAAAATGTCAAACGTATGTGACATTTAATTTTGTTGGTTTATACGTCATCCTTAGTGAACTGTTTACATAAAAGGTAATAATCAGTGTAGGTATCATCGTAAATAACAGACAAACTAGTAGTTACATATGTGCGAAATGTAAATATAGGTATAGGGTGTGAAGGAATTTAGACGGAACTCGGATGACGTCAAGACTATGAATTTCAGAGCAATTTAATAACAAAAATGTACATTAATGCGAATTCTATTTTTACCTGGCCATAACGATTCAAAAGGTATATTTTAAACGGAATTATCTGCCATGTCTATAGATAGTACATTCAGAAGACACGTAACTGGACATTTAGTAGTGATACTTTATATACAAGCTTATCTTGAAAGAATCGGTAACGTCATTCCGATTTTTGCGGTATTTTTCTATTATACTACAGGTAGGTATCGCTATGGCAAGATTTTTTTCTTTTTGGCATAGGTAGTCAGACAAAATTACGGCAAATTAATGATGACAAAATTGTATCAAATGCATTTGTTCTTAAGAAATTTTGGAAGAGGCTATGATTGGAGAAGTCGTGATTATTGTAAGAACTTCGTAAAAAACGAGTCGTGACCGCGCACCGCGAAATATAGCGTGTGTAGGCTCCCACAAGATAGGCCAAGATGGGACTTACTAAAGGTTGCGGGAATTCGCAGGAATATCTTACTTCGGAGAAGGCATATATATGTCCAGCAGTAGACGTCCGTGGTCTGATGATGACGACTATTAGGAATACAATAAAACTAAATACTTATTTATCTGCTCAAAACTCTTTACTTAGTACTAGTAATTTCATTTTGAACCATATATTATGTACTAATACCTATATGACTCGGTGCTACGTAATTTCAAATGAAATTAATATTAGTACTTCTTTTTTTGCGGATTAGATGACAATTAATATACATTAGGGCTGGAAGTTTTTTTTTTATTGCCTTTGTAGGCAGTCAAGCGTACGGCCCACCTGATGGTAAGTGGTTACCGTCGCCCATGGACTTCAGCAATGCTAGGAGCAGAGCCAAGCCGCTGCCTACCGCTTAATACTCTTCACAAGCCTCGTTTGAAGAAGGACATGTCATAGCGCTCGGGAAACACCGTGGAGGGGAGCAGCTCATTCCATAGCCGGATGGTACGTGGCAAAAAATACCTCTGGAAACGCACTGTGGATGACCGCAGTGGCTCCAGGTAGAATGGATCAACTCTACTCCGGTGGCGGGCGGTGCGATGGTAAAAACGAGACGTTGGTATCATCTCGAACAAATCCTCAGAGCACTCCCTATGAATTCTGAATTCTTTTCTGAACGTTCTGAGTTCGTAAAGTTACATTTCACTGTGAGGTTTGTTAAATTATTACATTTAATAATTAAACTAAAATGCAAACCGTTTCGAACGGCCAACGAGAGACGATCCTTATGTCATAAATGACAAACGTCAAAAATTGAACATTTTTGACAGTTGACAGATTCAATTTGCTTTTTTTTATTTAGAGGTCAAATATTTCAGTCTCCATATCCTGCATAGAGCCGATAATACCAAGATTAGATATCTTGAGTTTTCCATAAAACTCATAAGTTTTGGAAGCACGATCAAGAAGCGATGAATATTTGACAATGATCGCACTGTGGAAATGTTTCCTGGCTAGTTGATGAATGGTGATGAGTTTATTGTATTTTTTTTTTCTTTCAGGTAGAAAAGATAGTCCAATGTGCGTCGCGGCACAACTTCGTGATCATTCCTTTCGGTGGGGGCACGTCGGTGTCCGGCGCGGTCACTTGCCCCGAGAACGAACCCAGGCCAATAGTCGCCCTGGACACGAGCGAAATGAATTCAATACTGTGGTTGGACAAGGAGCAGCTGCTGGCGAGAGTGCAAGTAAATAAATACGTTTAGTTTATGTATTCGTATAATAAACTCAACCGTATCTCGTGCTATTAATTAGGCCTACAGATTCATGATTTTTTTTATTGCATAGATGGGTGGACGAGCTCACTGTCCACCTGGTGTTAAATGGTTACTGGAGCCCATAGACATCTACAACGTAAATGGTATCACCTACCTTGAGGTGCGGGTTCTAAGGTCTCAGTATAGTTACAACGGCTGCCCCACCCTTCAAACCCAAACGCATCTGCTCCACGGTAGAAATAGGCAGGGTGGTGGTACCTACCAGTAAGTGAGCACCCGTGAGCCATTCCCGTTACGTAAACGAGTTTACGAGACCCTGACCGTGCCTATATCTTTTGTTAAAACTCCTAATTTCATTGTAAAATTCTGTCAAATTTGTGAGTGTTCTTTCAATATTCCGTGTCCCGAAGGCAGGAATAGTCGGTCAAGACTTAGAGCGGGAGATGCGGTCCCGTGGCTTCACCGTCGGCCACGAGCCAGACTCGTACGAGTTCTCCACCCTCGGGGGGTGGGTTGCGACAAGAGCCAGCGGCATGAAGAAGAACACATATGGGAATATAGAAGATTTAGTTGTGCAGACGAAGGTAAGGATTTTTTATAAACGGCTTTTATAAACGGTTGAACGGCTGCCCCGCCCTTCAAACCGAAACGCATTACTGCTTCACGGCAGAAATACGCAGGGTAGTGGTACCTACCCGTACGGACCCACAATCGGCATTTAAGTCATCGATGTCAATGTCCGACATCGACTTAAGTCGTCGATGCCGATTTGAGCGAACATGCTGCTTTACGACAGAAATAAGCAGGGTTGTGATACCTACCCGTGCGGACTCACAAGATGCCCTACCACTCATAAACATCTTCCATTACAAGGTTCGGGGTTCACAAGAGGTCCTACCACTAATAAACATCTTCCATTACAAGGTTCGGGGTTCACAAGAGGTCCTACCACTAATAAACCTTTTCCATTACAAGGTTCGGGGTTCACAAGAGGTCCTACCACTAATAAACCTTTTCCATTACAAGGTTCGGGGTTCACAAGAGGTCCTACCAATAATAAACCTTTTCCATTACAAGGTTCGGGGTTCACAAGAGGTCCTACCAATAATAAACCTTTTCCATTACAAGGTTCGGGGTTCACAAGAGGTCCTACCAATAATAAACCTTTTCCATTACAAGGTTCGGGGTTCACAAGAGGTCCTACCACTAATAAACCTTTTCCGTTACAAGGTGGTGACGCCGAAAGGAGTGCTCGAGAAGAGCTGCCGCGTGCCGAGGGTGTCGTGCGGTCCGGAATGGGAGCACGTCGTGATGGGCTCCGAAGGATGCTTCGGTGTCGTCACAGAGGTTTGTACGAGATCACATCAGCATATCGTAAAACATCACTTCAATACTTTTGCCCTCAGACACAGCCCACCTATTTTCTCGCCGGATTTTCTCAGTGGGTCGCGTTTCTGATCCGGCGGTAGATTCTGCGAAGCACGGCTCTTGCTAGGGTCCGTGTTAGCAACGTCGTCAGGGTTGAGCCCCGTGTGCTCACCTACTAGTTAAGGTACCGCTGAAATAGCCTCTCAAGGCTATCAGCTTAGGTAGGAAAAAAAAAAAACTTTTAGGTTAAGCTTACCCGAAAAATTCTGTCGTAAATTACAGCAATTACAATTTGAACCGTTTAACTTGGAAAGCGAAACCTGTTTTTATTAATTAATTCATACACAAAATAACGTAAAAAGTGTTACAGAAGAATTAAGTTCAAATTAACTATTTGTTCTTTCAAGAAATCTCACCGAGCAGACCGGCGAGACGATAATAGCTATTGAATTAGCATTAAATTTAAAAAAATAAACATTAATAGGTAAAAAAGAAACAGAATAATTATTATACTTATTAAAATTTTTAATCATGCAAGCATTTAAATCACATACATATTCGCATACCAATTCCAATTCGTAAATACGCACAAATATTAAAGTAATAAATATTTAGTGTTAAAATAACGCAATATAGCGACCCAAACGGTAGCCGCGCTTGACCGCACGCCGCGGCCAATCAGGAGCTCTCGTTGTCGGCTCCCAGCCCTAAACACGTCATTACGGATCCTCCCGATGCATTAACGGTGCTTTTAGGTACCTCAAGCACCGGTCACCGTCCTCGCCGAACCCGTCGCTTGCGACGATGGGCTCGACGAGTGAATTAACCCTCAGACACAGCCCGCTGAGTTTCTCGCCGGATCTTCATAGTCGCGATTCCGAGCCAACAGTAGATCACGAAGCAGTAACCCCTGAGATGTTAAGTCTCCTTTAGCAAACCTTCCACCTTGGCTAAGCACTCAAGTGGCTCCATCTGGCCTAGCCGAGCGGTAATGTGTCTGGACTAAGCCCGATTCTCTCTACCAACCCAAAAAATTAAAAGAGTTAGCCGTTCGCTCTATCCTTTACCTTTTTATACCATTTCATCACAAGTATACGGGTGGTAGGACCTCTTGTGAGTCCGCACGGGTATTACCACCACCCCGCCTATTTCTGCCGTGAAGCAGTAATGCGTTTCGGTTTGAAGGGCGGGGCAGCCGTTGTTACTACACTGAGACCTTAGAACTCATATCTCAAGGTGGGTGGCGGCATTTACACTGTAGATGTCTATGGGCTCCGGTAACTACTTAACACCAGGTGGGCCGTGAGCTCGTCCACCCAATTAAAATTAAAATAAATAAATAAAAATAAAAAAAAATTCGTTAGACTTGCATGTTTGTTCAAATCTTCGAAGCTAAATCAGAGACCTCATCGTCTTAATTTACGAAGCATTCTTATGGTGAGGTTTGAGCCGAACCCACTTGGAGGATAAGCGCCGGGTAAAAGAACTCTTCAGCGATTAACGGCGCGAGCAGTTACGAAACTTTTGTGTACGCATTTAAGTGTGTCAGTTTAGATATTAATTATTATTTTTTATTCTATAAAAAATGGGTAATTCTTAGGTAGGTAGGTAATAAAAGAAATAAGGGAAAAGTCAGCCTACCGAGTTAGTTTCACCTATTCTTTTCGGGCCTCTAGATACTTTTTAACCGGTTCGACGTAAGGTTGTTTTCATGACATTTAGTTTTAAATGTATTTGGGTAATTTGAATTATTTTCAATTTTTAATTCGATACCAATTATTATTAATTTTCTTCTCTGCTTGTTTTGTCGTATAAAAATATATTTTAATTACTTTAATTTTCCATGATGACCTGGAACTTGACTCAGTCAGTAAGTATCTACAGTCGGCATCATTGCACCACTTTGAGAAGGCGGTCATGACATGAGAACCCGCTTGTCGTGGCCGCTGGAAACTACATACCCGATCCTGTAGACCGAATGGTAAACAGTCGACGTCGTAATATCCTGTTGATATATTATTGTGAAAATTTAAGTTCCTCGCTCCTCTTAACTCTGCTTACTGACTGCTATGGCATGGTCCTCTTGTCTGCAATCCTGGCGTTGGTTACGACCACGAGCGGTGTTGACTCATCATCACATGGACATGCTCTGTCATCACTGTTTCAGGTCGTCATCAAAATCCGTCCAGTGCCGGCCGTGACTCGCTACGGATCCCTCGTGTTCCCCGACTGGGAGTCCGGGTTCTGGTTCGAAAGGGAAGTCGCCAGGAAGAGGCTTCAACCTTCTAGTATCAGACTAATGGACAACGAACAGGTCAGTAGATATGACAAGGTCAAAAGAAGACCTGACTACTAGGTACTGGTGATAGGACCTCTTGTGAGTCTGAAGGGTAGGGCAGCCGTTGTAACTATACTGATATCTTAGAACTTATATCTCAAGGTGGGTGGCGCATTTACGTTGTAGATGTCTATGTGCTCCAGTAACCACTTAACACCAGGTGGGCTGTGAGCTCATCCACCCATCTAAGCAATAAAAAAATAAAAAAAAGGTACGACGGACCCCTGGTGAGCTGGTATGCCTGATTGTTCTAAGGAAATTTGGATATTTGTTGTGTATAGGTGTGACCTAAGTGTACACATACATACAATACACATAATACACGGTAGGCAGCGGCTTGGCTCTGCCCCTGGCATTGCTGAAGTCCATGGGCGACGGTAACCACTCACCATCAGGTGGGCCGTATGCCCGTCTGCCTACAAGGGCAATAAAAAAAAAAAAAAAAAAAAAATACAAATATTCGTAATAACTGTTATGGCATGGAATTCCCCCATTGTAGGTAGGTAGCGGCTTAGATCTGCCCTTGGTATTGGTGATGTCCATGGAAAACGGTAACCACTCACCATCAGGTGGGCCGTATCCTCGTCTGCCTACAAGGGCAATACAAAACGAAAGTTGGAAAAACACTAAATCTTATCATTGATCTTTTGTAATGCATTTATGTATCACTCGCTGTAAAGTGGTTACCACTGCCTATAATCATCACAATATGTGTCATTACCCACCCCATCACAGGAGGTTGACATTTGTATTTTACTGTAGTAGACTCCAAGAGGGACGCATGAATACTTCGTGGCAAAAATAGACATAATAATAATTACATTTTTACATTTGTACAATGTTGGTACCTACNTCTTTTGTAATGCATTTATGTATCACTCGCTGTAAAGTGGTTACCACTGCCTATAATCATCACAATATGTGTCATTACCCACCCCATCACAGGAGGTTGACATTTGTATTTTACTGTAGTAGACTCCAAGAGGGACGCATGAATACTTCGTGGCAAAAATAGACATAATAATAATTACATTTTTACATTTGTACAATGTTGGTACCTACTCGTGCGGACTTCAAAATGCGCTCTTTTTTTCCTACCTAAATTGATTTCAGTAAACGGAAAGCCACTTTTCTAAGTAGGATAAATACACACTAAGACGCAAAAGAGAAAAATTTCATCAGTTATTTTGTCTTTACCTATTTCATCATCATTCTCCTGCCCTTCTCCCAGACACCTGGAGTCGGGGTAACATGTTTTCTCCTTCCATACTTCTCTATCATATATCGTTTCTTCGCTCACTCCCCTCTTACACATATCGTCTTTCACGCAATCCATCAATTTCTTCTTAGGTCTACCTCTTCCTCTATATCCTTCCACATTCATAGTTAACACTCTCTTACCAACCTCATTTTCATTTCGTTTCATCACATGTCCATACCATCCCAAACGCGCACTTCTCAACTTCTGTCACAGGTGCCACTTTCAGACTTCCCCTAACATATTCATTACGTATTCTATCCATTCTCGTTACTCCACACATGCATCGCATCATTTGCATCTCTGCTGCGTGCAATCACCTTTCATCCTACCTATTGTCATTACCTGTCTTTATTTATTTTTATTTAATTATTACTCTTCATGTAAAATTTACATTGGCGGACTTAATGCCTAAGGCATTCTCTACCAGTCAACCAAAGGTAGTGCAGAGTGAATAGTGGTAGGTGCAATGAAATTTATATTAAGTTACAAATACATACACAAAAAAACTATATACATACATAATATATATATTGTGTAATCACATATTTAACAAATAACTTCATCTAAATAAGTTCATGACGATTCCGCTAATTTTTCCAACATTCGCCGAACCCTACCTTTACCTATTTATATATAGATAAAAACCGTACATTACAGTTTCGTTTCGGGCAAGCACTGAAATTGGAGAACTCGTGGGGCGGAGTCCTGTTGGACGGGCTGAAGCGACTGTACATCACTAGGATCAAAGGGTTCGATCCTCTGAAGCTGTGCGTGGTCACGCTGCTCATGGAGGGCACCGAGGAGAAAGTCAGAGAACAAGAGCGAGCGCTCAACGGCATCGCGGCCCGGCACGGCGGGGTGCCGGCCGGCGCGGGGAACGGCGAGACCGGATACACGCTCACCTTCGTCATAGCCTACCTCAGGGTGAGTCCTGCAGCAGCGGCCCAGACCCCTGCCCTTCACGAACCGACCGAGGTTTCGTTAACACGTTGACTGCCGTGTAGGTAACCGGTGCCCTACAACACCAGGTGGGTTGTGAGCTCGTCCACCCATCTAAACAATAAAAAAAAACTCTTTCCCTGATGCAGACCAGGCCAACGGTTAAGTCCTAAAGCAGATGGACACTAAATATATGAATATTCTTTTTGTTTTGTATACAGGACGTGGCGATAGAGTTCGACATAGTGGCGGAATCGTTCGAGACGTCGGTGCCCTGGGACCGCACCCTGGCTCTCTGCAGGAACGTGAAGACTCGCGTCCGGGACGAGTGTCTCGCCAGAAGTATCACCCGGTTCCTGATCTCGTGCCGCCTCACTCAAACGTGAGATTTTTTTTCTTTTTTTTTTATTGCTTGGGTTAGGGTGGACGAGCTCACAGCCCACCCGGTGTTAAGTGGTTACTATAGCCCATAAACATCCACAACGTAAATGCGCCACCCACCTTGAGAATAAGTTCTAAGGTCTCAGTATAGTTACAACGGCTGCCCCGCACTTCGAACCGAAATGCATTACTGCTTCACGGCAGAAATAGGCAGAATGGTGGTACCTACCCGCGCGGACTCACAAGAGGTCCTACCACCAGTAGAAGACTTACGAGAAGTTTTTATTAGTTGCTGTATGTGAGCAGATTCACTCATAAATCCACATTATGAGAAGTGGTTCCCGGTGTCCATAGATAGCACAAGCGGGCAGCCCAGCTGCGACACAATACGATGAGGGACTTCAAGTCTCAAGATAAGTGAGCTCTGGTGACCATTGAACAAAGTCTGGTTTGAAGGGTGGGGCAGCCGTTGTAACTGTACTGAGATCTTAGAACTCATGTCTCAAGGTGGGTGGCGCATTTACGTTGTAGATGTCTATGGGCTCCAGTAACCATTTAACACCACGTAGGCTCTGATTTCGTCCATCCATCTAAACAATAAAAAATATATAGGAATCCCTGATTGCTTCGTGGTAAATGTAAGCTGAACAGTGATACCTGCCCGCGTGTGTCCATAATAGGCCACCCCTAAGTTTAAATTTATCATGACGCTGCTCCTTCATTATGGAATTCGTTGTCGAATAATATATACAAGTATATTTAAATTTGTTTTTGTTTAATATTGTATATTTAGTAATTTTTCAAACATTTTCAATCATTTATTAATTATTTTAAGAAGCAGCAAACAGTAACCTAGCCCCAAACTAAAAATCCCTGTTTTAAGGGAACTAGAGACTGATTGATACACATAAATAGACATTAATATAGAATGATGGTCCATAAAAAAAATCACGAATAAATATTATAATATTTTTTTAATGGTATAAAATAAATACGTTTTATAATGCGAGTCTTTTGATCCACAGTTACGACGCCGGCTGCTGTATTTATTTTTATTTTGGATTTTACTCGGGTGACTGTGAAAACCCTGTCGAAACGTACGAGCAAATCGAGGAAGCAGCCAGAGATGAAATATTAGCTTGCGGTGGTGAGTTCCATTAATTTTTTAAAAGACATTATTAAAAAAATCCAACGATTTAAAAGTAACTAAATTGATAGCACCCGAGATTTTATAACAGCTTCCGGTATTTAAAACGAGCTTTTATTGTAATGTTGGTAGTTCGTAAAACCATTCGCTGATCAAACTTTTTAAAGAAAATCGTTAGACATATTTTTAATTTTAAAAGTTTAATGAATATAAACAGATTTTAAGACTAATTTTGATGGTCTTCGAAGATTTGAGAGGAAAATTTAAACGAAGATAATTATAAAGGTTTGTTTAAATAAATAAAATTGACATCCATTTCTCACGTAAAAACGTACGATTAAATTACAGGGTCGATATCGCACCATCATGGCGTCGGAAAATTAAGAAAGAAATGGTACGCCGAGACTGTGAGCGAACCCGGCCGCCAATTACTACTGGCAGCTAAGAACGCCTTAGATCCGCAGAACATATTTGCAGTCGGCAATATGGCCTTTGACGAGCACAACACCGAACATAGCGTCAAAAGTAAACTATGAACTGTTTGTGATGTGGAAGGCGATTTTAATTACTGCAGAAGTTATTCAACTTCGTTATTAAGGGTTTATGGTTGGTTGTCCGGAATATTGTAAGCGACGAGTCGGTGAAGGCTCGGTATGACGACTTAAACTGACGAGTCTTGGGCGTATAGAATGTATTAACAGAAAATAATCGTTGAGGAAGTGGGAGTGTTTTTAATAATTTTAAGAAATCCATTATTTTGCATATTCATAAATAGAGAATAGAACAGTAACAATAAAGTCTTCTCATTGTATGTAAAAGTTGAAGTTAAAATTTTTTGCGCCTGTATCATGTTCGATGTGACCCGATTCAAATTAATTAAAATCAAAATATTATTTATTTCATAAGCACTGTTCATTTTCATTATGTTTGAACTCTTAGTAATGGGTAGTTAGAAAATTCGATTCTTATACAAGATTACATTAATTATAAGCTTGCATAAATTGAAATGGATAGTAACGTAAAAAAACACATAAATACAGCACGAATAGCTACAGTAGCTAAATGCCAAATCGTGCCTTCTATAGGGTCGTTTTAGCAGTTTTGATAAAAATTGCTAACTTACTAAAAATTATACAAATTTATATGTTGCACATACTACTATGTCTAATAGGAAATATAAAGCTCTAATTCAATATATGGAATCAAGACCAAAGATGTAAATTATTATTGTAATATTTGTTCAAGTTTAAGAAAATTTAACTTAAAAAAATACCCATACTTACCACTATTTTTATTATTACAAATTTTAGCGCATCATTAATTAATTTACAGCACATTTATGAAAGCAATGCCATTTAATGTAATGTACTTTAACATTCCCGATAATCAGTTATCGTTTTTTATATTATTAATTAAAACTGTATTGTTCTAGAAATGTGTGCGTTTGTGGTGTAGTCCAATAAATGATTCTTTTTATACGCTGCCTTTTTAATACCAAAAACACTTAATCCAATTTCTTGGATATAATTTACTTTATGTGGTATAATTCTAGTCATTCCTAGTTTTACTTAACCTGCACATATATCTATAAAGTACTAGGTATATAGGTTTCATACTTCAGTGAACCTGCATGACATGGGTCGTTTATTGTGATTCTTCAGTTTGAAAACGAACATCAAATCGAACGAAAAGTTTGCAATTTTATTCTCGTAATAAAGTGATCAACTTTATATTAAGCAAATCTACCATCCTTAATGTTTTCCTTTATTTACCTACTAATAAAATTAGTGTACGAATAAAGCGATTTCATAATATTTATTTTGGCAAATAATATTCAAATTCCTTACCTTTTAATCCTTTGAAGTCAATGTGATTATTTTCGATGTCATTCATTTATACTTCCGTTTTGAAATTTTAATAAAACTCAAAAGAATTCACTTCCTGTTACCACTCAATAATTGGTTCTCTAATATTGTTTAATTTTAAGATGGAAATTTAATGAAGCTTGCGTTTACGCGGGTATCTTGAAGATAAATTTGTTGCAACAGATACGTGCATAGTAAATTAAGTCAAGATGATTGATCTTTTTATGCCTTTTCGTTCATTTTTGAAATTTGAGAATGTATGTACTGATAATAATATTTTTCGAATGCATTACAAGCTCACAGTCATAATATTATTGGTGTTTACACTTCTTGTGACTTCAAAGCAGTTTTTCGGAGAGCCCATACATTGTATGAGCGGCAATGATAAAGGCAATGATAAGGACGCCGTGAACAGTTATTGTTGGATATATGGAACATACACGCTGAAGAGCCAGCTTTTAGGTTCGTACATAATATTGATTTTAATTATATCAAGTACCTAATAAAATTAAGTAAATCACATTTTTTACAGACTTTTTATGAACTTAGTTCGCCATGTTGAAATTTGCAAAAATTACATTCTAATTTCAATAGGCATCGATAAAATATCAATCAATAAAAACATAAAATATTGAACAAATTTCCAGGTGTTGAAGGCAGGCACATGGCATATGTAGGAGTAGGACCGGCTAAGTCCGACGATGATGAGCAGATCAAACACACTTACTACCAGTGGGTGTGTTTTGTACTACTTGGTCAAGCCACCATGTTTTATGCTCCTCGATACCTGTGGAAAATGTGGGAAGGAGGCAGGCTGAAGGCACTGGCAGCTGATCTTAGTAAGATTTTTATAAATTTAGATATTTTAAATGAGAAAAAACAATTAGGTAACTGAAGTGCCAATTAACTTACTTTGTTAGAGAAAGGAAAAATTAAATTACCTATTTCATTTATTAAGAGACAAGCACCTCTCATCTCCTTAACTCTTCAAAGTACAGTAAAATTACACAAATTCAATAAAAAGCTAGCAATAATTTAAGTAATCAGTATACTAAGTAATAAAACTTTACAGGCAGTCCAATGGTTTCGAAGGATTGGTCAGAGTTCAGGCGCAAGGAACTTGTCTCATATTTTAATTACACAAATATGTATACTCATAATATGTATGCCCTGCGTTATGCATTTTGTGAGTTACTGAACCTTGTAAATGTGGTAAGTTTATTTATTCTTAAATTAAAAATGATGACACAAATGTTTTTTTAATTTTATTAGTAGTTTTAACTGCTTGTAAAATATAGTGGTATTATTAGCTTTGATGCGCTAACACATTTGATCAAGAAATTCTGATATCGTCAAATTAAATTAAAAATCAATAGGCAAAATAGCAAAAGACAAAACAGTTCTCCTCTGTTATTATTAATAAAATAATAGTTAGGCCAACAGATTAATGATACAATATGTCAATATCACAATACTCTGTCATATTAAATATGTGCACAAAGTCTTGCTACTTAATAACTGAATTTGGTGTTTGATCCCCAGGTTGGTCAAATATTTATTCTGGACTTGTTCCTTGGTGGTTCATTCCGTAACTATGGTGCTGCAGTTGCAGCTTTTACGCACACCCCACGCATACCTAACGATTTTACCAACTTCACCTCTGTCAACCCCATGGATGAATTTTTTCCCAAACTCACTAAATGCTGGTTAAGAAACTATGGACCTTCAGGCTCTCTTGAATTAAAGGATCGATTGTGTGTACTACCTTTAAATATTGTTAATGAAAAGATATTTGTTATCCTTTGGTTCTGGCTTATTATATTAACGGCTTTCTCTATACTAGCTGTAGTTTTTCGTTTTCTCTTGCTTATATTATATCCACTGCGGACAGTAATGATACGTGGACAAATACGCTATGTTAAAAGAAGTGTTGTCTCACGTATTGTAAAGAGATTTGGTTTTGGGGACTGGTTTATTCTCCACTTATTGGGTAAGAACATGAATCCAATAATTTTTAAGGATTTAGTACTTGAATTGGCCAAAGAAATAGAACATAATGCTATAATGGTATAACTCACGTTTTGAGTTTTTCGAAATAAGTCGCTAATTTGAATTAAGATTTGCTACAATAACAGTAAAATAATTATTATAATTCAGTTAGCCTGTGCTCAGCTATTTGTTAAAATTTTGAATTTACAATTAGTGTAATTAAAATCTTGCACTTTGCATGATTGCTTGCTATTGATTAGAATGAGCTGAACTCTTTAGAAGTAATGTTTAAATAATAAGTGCGTATTAGTAATCACATAAAAGACTGATTATAGAAATTGTTATTGAGGACTTTGTTTAGTTCCTAAAAGAGAAATTATAGCATTTGTTGAACAAATGTTTTGATATATTTTCTTTTAAGAAGTACAAGAGAATTGTTATTTAAGTTCCTTTGTTTACTATTTTCAGTTGAAAGTCTATTTAGTCAAAAGGGTTTTGTTTTATTTTTAGCAATAACTGATGATAATGTAAAACAAAATGAAACAATGTTTAAGAAGTTCATATTTGTTTTAGTGATCATTAAAATTTATTTAAGACATTTTTCAAATAATTAAATGATATAACAGAATGCTGGTTTTACCTGTTTTTTTTTTTTTCAATAAAACATACAATATTGCATGAACAGACGCAAACCACTGTGTTTCCAGTCTATTCCTAACGGAATTGATTTTTCAAAATTTGTTGTCTTATTGTGAGACTGCATAAATAGGTAACAATCCTGTGTTATCCGCGGCAAAGTAATCCTGCGTCATGGTGCGCAATGGATGAGGCAGACGTCACAATTCACACTTGAGACTTCAAGGTTGTTTTAAAATGAGTGGCGTCATCGTTGGCCTGTCTGGGCTTCGGAGATCACTTAATATCAGGCAGGCCGTGAAGTCATCGTACTATGTAAATCAATACAAATGTTAAATAGAAGCAGTTGCAAATTTATAATGCAATGAGAAATCTAAGCAAATGTGAATATGTAATGTGAAAATTTCGTAAATATTGGGGACCGGTTATATTTTTTTATCTTTTTTTTATTGCTTAGATGGGATGGGACGAGCTCATAGCCCACTTGGTGTTAAGTGGTTACTGGAGCCCATAGACATCCACAACATAAATGCGCCACCCACCTTGAGATATAAGTTCTAAGGTCTCAAGTATAGTTACAACACCTGCCCCGAAACCGAAACGCATTACTGCTTCACGACAGCAATAGGCGGGGTGGTGATACTCACCCGCGCGGACTCACAAGAGGTCCTATCACAAGTAGGTAATTACGCAAATTATAATTTTTCGGGTTTCAATTTTATTACACGATGTTATTCCTTCACCGTTGAAATCAATCGTGAACATTTGTTGAGTACGTATTTCATTAGAAAAATTGTTACCCACTTGAGATTCGAACACCGGTGCATCGGCCAACACGAATGCACCGGACGTCTTATCCGTTAGGCCACGACGACTTCAAATATATTATTGAGTCTCTTATATTTTAAACAATCATCTGCCTATGTTTGCTGTAAAGCAGTAGATTTTTATACATATCAACATTTTTACATCAAATTGAACGTGATAATTTTGAATGATCCTCATAATTTTATTACCTTTATTTTTATTAGTACATTGTTTAAATCTGTTAATAGCACTTTGAAGTCTCCTAAGTAAAAGAAGTTGACAAGCTCAAAGTTAAAAAAAAATTTTTAATCCAATTTTGAATATGAATATATGTGTTTCATGACTTTAAAATATTGCCATTACAATATAATGCAGTTACATAATGAAGGTTTTGTTCTTAACACATATTTGTAACTATTGTGTTTTATGAAAATTAGTCCAGTTCAACATTTGAAAAAAGTGTCTCTGTAAAAGCTGTTATTATTATTTAATCTACATTAATGTAGAATAAAAATTCAAAAGTAATGCTTAAGCGCAATAACAGTAGATTAATATCAAAACTGAAACAATACCACTTAGTCACAATGTAGTTTTTATGAATTTGAGCAAGATTCACAATAATCTCCTTATTTGAGATTTTGGTTTTTATTATACCATTATATTATTATTTCCATATTTTAAAATATTGATAATTTATTGAGATGTGTTACAGTTTCATTTATACAGTTTCACAGTAGCAAATTTAAAACAATCCCATCTATGATTTATTTCATGCCAGAATATATAACTAAAACTACTTTTATGGATTATTATCACTTAATATTGTTATTACATTAATTCCGTTTCACCACTTTAGTTTTACATTAAAACTGAGACTAGTCAGTAGTTTTAATTATAAAAAAACTCAAAAACTGAAGAAATATTGTATAGCTTAAATTCTACTAATTTCATTTTCAATCAAATCCAAGATAGTGAGATGATGCATTTGTGCTCATGTACTCGAATTTTATGCACAGAACCACACATACCTATATCAATACAAGCCATACAAAAGAGTATCTTTATCAATACAAAAAGTACATTATATTTTTTTCTTTCAAATTAAATTACAACACTAGTCCTTGAAATACTTTATTAATTTCTATCCTGAACAACCTCTGCAACCACAATGGACACATTCAACAATCCTTCCCTCTTCCAGCTTACTCTTCGGAACTCTACATATACAATTAGTTGCAAAATTTGTATCTCTAGTTTGTATGCAGCGAAGACAACACAAATTTTCATACCCAGTCTTTTTCCATTTCGCTATAAGATTGGCGTCAGCTATTTTTTCATTTAAGCAATATTGGTAAAGTTCTCTACTAATGGCCTTACGTCTGTAAAATAAGTCATAGATGTAACGCGATTTCTGATGATGTATTTTGAAAATTGGCCATAAGGATTCTTGTTTTCGTTTCCCTTCGTGCGGTTCAGTTTCGGCTGAAAATATATTTAAGTAAGTAACATCATTTCAAGGAACATATCCAATATTTTTAGGTTATCATTGTTTTTAAATAAAACAACAATATTTTGTTGAGGCTATGTTCAATACCTTCTCGCATTTTCTGTTCAAGTTCCTCAAGTGTTGGCTCAATTAATTCCCATCCTTCTGGTGGTGGTTTCCTACTGCGACGAACCTTAGGCATTTTATAATATCTTCAACAAAATCGGCTTCTAAGATTTAAAGAATTTTAATTTTCATTTACTCTACAACGACAACGTAAAACAGCCCGTATTTCTAAATTTGTGACAGGCGACATGAATGACAGTTGGGCGTGATATTTTTTTTAAAGAACGGGTAAAAGGAAATTAGCCCATATATGTTGTAAAGGTCGAAGAAGATCTATTTGAAAAGGGAAATTTAGCAGAATTAAATGAAACCTCTTACCATAATGGATTTAATTTACTGAGATTTCAATGGCCTTTAGAAACTATGTCCAACTATTATGTCCTCCCTCGCCTATCTTAACGGTCGGATTATCTTCTTCTTCTTAGTCGCATACTTCATTGCGGAAGGTCGTGTCCCTGAAAGCCCTTTATGGCTCCTTGTACCATCAGCTTCAATTTCCTTCGGTTTTAGACTTCTCTTAGGGCGGTCGCAACAGAGAGTCCAGTGAGCGCAATTACCTGATCTGACCAACGGTTTGGCGGCCGGCCGGTGGGTCTTTTACCTTCTACCTTGCCCACTACAGCCAATTTTTCAAGGTTGTCGGTCGGATTATCAACTTTTTTAAATTTGTGCTTTTTTACACAACAGGACAAAACGTTTCGAACGTGCCAATAATCAGCGATGGCAAAGTTATCATCGTTCAATATGAATAAGCCTGGCGCTTATTCATATTGAACGATGATAACTTAAAATTTTCTTGATTACTTGTGGTAGAGAGTTTGAGCCTCCAACCACTATCCTGTTTATTTGTAACGCCACACTGTTTTTCGTTAGGGAATGAAAGGCTAGACAGCAATTAGACAACAAAATTAAATCTTCGAACGGTAGATCTCGAGGTTGATAGCGGCATTAAATAGCGGAAATAAATTTCAACATGAGAGCGTAGTTTTTTGGTAGTACTGTACTCCAAAATCAATGGTATCCTGAATAGGAATTAAGGGGATAGATATTATTATGTAATACCAAAGAATAACTGAATAATCAGAGATACTAATGCCACGGAGGGTAATGTGTCTAATTTACCATTTATTCTAATATATTCAGTCCGTTTAAAGAACAGAACGAGCCCAGGAGTAAGATGTGAACTTTTGGGTGAAAAACAAAACGTGTGATGATGATATTAAACAAGGATATATTTCATTTTTTAAGTATCGGCATTTTTCTCTGGTTTATCTTTCAAGTTTTGTGGAAATCCGGATTCCACCTCAGCAATATAATCACATTTAAGCGTGCAAATTTGACCACTTCCTACTGTTTTTGTATGGTGAATCTTATTGTACTGTCTTGTGTATCTAATCGTCGAAATCGTGCAATCTAACCCATACATCAGCTGAGCTCATCATACCGCTGAGTTTCTCATCGGATTTATTTATTTATTGCTTAGATAGGTGGACGAGCTCACAGCCCACCTGGTTTTAAGTGGTTACTGGAGCCCATAGACATTGACAACGTAAATGCGCCACCCACCTTGAGATATAAGTTCTAAGGTCTCAAGTATAGTTACAACGGCTGCCCCACCCTTCAAACCGAAACGCATTACCGCTTCACGGCAGAAATAGGCAGGGTGGTGGTACCTACCCGCGCGGACTCACAAGAGGTCCTATCACCAGTAATTACGCAAATTATAATTTTTGCGGGTTTGATTTTTATCACACGATGTTATTCCTTCACCGTGGAAGTAAATCGTGAATATTTGTTGAGTACGTATTTCATTAGAAAAATTGGTACCCGCCTGGGATTCGTAAACCGGTGCATCAACGTCTTATCCTTTAGACCACGATGACTTTAAAATCTTCTGAGCGATTTGCGTCCGATCCGATAGCAGATTCATTCGCGAAGCAGCTGCTTTTGAGTTTTTAGGTCTCCTTTGGAGGCGCTCGGGCAGCTGTTAGCAAATTCCATTCCTCCTGGCGGAGCCTTTGCTCGTCTACCTGTCCTGGTGAAACTAGAAAGGCCTTCGGGCTTTCCTAAAAAGATTATTAAAAAAAAGAATAAAAATGTATATGCATATCTACCTAGTCAGGTCATAAGTATTGTCACACAGTAAAAACTTTTCTTTTAGAATGCTGGCCACAAAAAAGTTTATTGAATTCGAATTTCGAATTGTTCATGAAAATAAAAATGTATACTTTTATAGAATTTTACTCATTTTTAAATATGGAGTGGACGCTTAAAGAAGACCGTGTTGCAAACCGTGTTGCAGTTATTGCGTTGCATCGTTGCGGTTACGCGCCAATTCAAATTTTTAACATACTGAAAAATTTGAATATAACCAAAAGATTCGTTTATCGTACCATCAAACGATACAATGAAGACTCTAGTGTAGATGACAGGTCAAGAAGTGGTCGTCCTCGATCTGTTAGGATTCCAGCAGTGATAAAAGCTGTGAAGGCGCGAATTCAAAGAAATCCCAAACGTAAGCAGAAACTGTTGGCCCTTCAGATGTAGTTAAGCAGAACCACGGTGAAAAGGGTGTTAAATGACGACTTAGGGCTTCGGGCATATCGAAGAAAAACAGGACATCGTTTGAATGCTCGTCTAATGGACCTGAGACTGAAGAGATGCCGCGCTTTGTTGAAGCGGTACGCGGGAAAAAAAATCGGGAAATTCTTTTTTCGGATGAAAAAATTTTTACCGTAGAAGAGAGCTACAACAAACAAAATGATAAGGTGTACGCACACAGTAGTGAAGAAGCGAGCAACCGTATTCCGCGTGTCCAACGAGGTCATTTTCCATCCTCGCTCATGGTATGGTTGGGAGTTTCTTATTGGGGCTTAACAGAGGTACATTTTTGTGAGAAAGGTGTAAAAACGAATGCAGTTGTGTATCAAAATACAGTCCTGACGAACCTTGTGGAACCTGTTTCTCATACCATGTTCAATAACAGGCACTGGGTATTCCAACAAGATTCGGCGCCAGCTCATAGAGCGAAGAGCACACAAGACTGGCTGGCGGCGCGTGAAATCGACTTC